ATTTCAAATGTTTTTTTATTTTATGAAAAAAAATCTATAATACTATTATAATTAATAAGTTACATCATTGGTTACATTATAATAAATGTGAATAATAAACACAATTTTGAAACCAATTACAATAATTTGTGATAAATTTTAGTTAATTCAATAGCTAGATATAAAATTTATATTTAACTGTTTTACTAAATTTATTTAAAAATAGTATATAATATTTATATATTTACATAAATTTAATAAACAGTAGTCTATTAATAAAAAAATAATTTTATTTAATTTATTAAATTTTTAAACTAATTATTAGTTGATACATAATGACAATATATATTCAAATTTTAATTTTTTTATCGAAATAACAAACTATAAATTTAAAACTAAAATTGATATATTTTATAGTTTGTAAAAGTAATTTAAATTAGAAATATAATTAATTTTATAATAATTACTGTATTTAATATTAAATAGATAGTAATTTTTAAAAAATAAAATTTATATTTATCTGTTTGACTAAATATATGTAAAACATTATATAATATTTATATAAATTTAATTTAACAGTAATTTATTATAAAAAACTAATTTTATTAAATTTTTAAACTACTTATTAGCTGACAATATATATATTATAATATTAATTTTTATTTGTAAATAACAAAATATAAATTTAAAACTAAAACTAATATCTAATATTAACATATAATTTCATAAACTGTATAAAAACAATTTGTTTTTATTTAATATTAAAATTTAGATTTATAATTATTAGAAATGGGAGTATGAAAAAAAACAAATTTTGTTTTTTTGGTGAAAATCGCTATATATATAAAACATTAAATTTGTTTTAAGTTACAGTTTATAAGTTAATTAAATTTAATTATTTAATAAATTAAAAATTAAAGCTTATTATTATAACCTTTATATTTAATTAAATAATCAAGTTTATAAATATATATATATATATATTAAGTTGTTAATTTTTTTTATTGAATTATATTTTAAAAATAAATTTATATATTTAATATCATATTAACACATAATTTCAAAAACTGTATAAATATAATTTGTTTAATTTAATATAATAATTTAGATTTATAATAATTGCAAATAGTCAGAAGATAACTGTTTGTTATATTAATTTTTTAATATTAAAAAATTAATATATAATATATTATAATATTAATTTCTATATGTAAATTAACAAAATATAAATTTAAAACTAAAACTATTATTTAATATTAATATATATATAATTTCATAAACTGTATAAAAACAATTTGTTTTTATTTAATATTATAATTTAGATTTATAATTATTGCAAATAGTTTCGAGACGAATCAAGTAGTAGTTATATTAATTAATTATTAATTAATTAGTAAAATAGTTAATAATTATAAATACACTTGGATCTATTACTATCATGAAATATATTAATTTACAATAAAAATTTTCAGTAATAAAAACTAAAATAAACTATAAAATAGTAAACTGATAAACAAACAAAAAAATGTTTGTCAATCAATATTTTAAATATATAATAATGTTAGTTAAAATTAATAATTTTGTTATCATTTGAAAAAAATATATTTTTATATCAATACGTTTAACACTTACAGATCAATATTGTAATTATTAAAATAAATAAATAAATGTTTAACTAAATTATTAAATATTATTACTTTTTTAATAACTAATAATAAACTATACTTTTTATATATAAATTTATGGAATATATATATATATATATAAATATTTTTTTATCTATTTAATCAATTAAATAAAAAATGGTTGTCCTCTTTGACCATTTCGGCACACTTTTCGGCGACCATAAAAGTGGCTGAATTTATGTTAGCATTGGGTATATTGGGAAACACCGATGCGTCGCATACACGCAATCTATTGAGACCTTTAACACGTAACCGGGGGTCGACTACTACTGTATCATCATTTTGGGGATCACCCATACGTACGGTACAGCAGTCATGATATATGGTAGTCGTTAGCTGTCGTATATGGCAACGGATATATGTATCGCAATTATACAGATAGCTTGAATGAGGACAGGCCTGACAGCCGGGTATGGGACGTATTGGCAACAAGTATTGGGCCAACGATGACCGTTCCCCGAGATATAATGCAAACCGTACGGACTCAACAAATTCGTCCATATCTACCGGATGGGTAAGTAGTCGGGGATCGATTACGGGTGCATCAAACGGATTGGTGGATCGTAGATATACCCGACCCTGACTACGGGGTAATTGATGAAAAGCTAACAATGAAATAAAATACCGATTGGCGTACGGTTTCAGATAGTCTAACCATTGGTTACTATTTGAATATAATTGTGCCGTCAACTGGGCGTCAATAGTTGATTGGTATAATAGATGCAAATCTATTGCCAGATTTGGCCAATTTTTATCCACCCGTCGATTGTTATACCGTCGACTATTAAAATAGGTCATAGAGCCGTAGAATTGGCTTAACGGTCCCGAACCGTTAGTCAGCCATTGGTCAAGATTGGCAACCGTTAGTCCGTTAGTGATATTATTATTTTGTTGTCGACGACTGGTTGTCACTAATGATGAGTCGTTTTTTATAATATACAACCGGAATTCGGTTTGCGGATGATTTTTTATGCCATAGCCGACCGGCAAATCGGCCAACACTGGCATAGAGTGTTGACGTAAATGATTGGCGGGTCCTATGCCCGACAGCATAGGTAGTTGTGGACTATTTATGGCACCTGTAATATACATTAATATATATATACAGTATATATATATATAAAAGTGATAAAAGTTAAGTGTTTATCATGATAACTTTTTCATTTAATTATTAGACATCATTTATGGCACATATAACATTTGAAAATATACTTATTACTATTATAATATAATTATTATCATTATTAATTTATCAATGTCAATTATAAATTGCTAATTTTAATTATTTTGTACTAGTTTATGTGTATGTTTTAATTTTATCCAGAATATTTACATAAATTAAAATAAAAATATTATTTTTTTTAGTATTTGTAACTTTTATCACTGATATATACAGTTAATTTTATATCTAATATCTAGATAAATCTATTTAATTATTAAAACTACTTGGGGTGGTCACATATTACGTTCGCACTTGAGTGAATGAGGGCGGTTGGGGGTTGGTTGGCCAAAGCGAACTTTTGCAAACATAGGGGAGGAAGGGGGGGGTCTAGATTTCTTAAAAAGTGCGAACGTAATATGTGAATTTATTATTATTATTTTTAATTAATTAATTAATTAATTAATTATTAATAATAAATATATGTATAGCAACATACCTGATCACAAAATAATCTCATTTTTCGCTTTTGCAACATATGTGACACCATTTCTTACATATTCGACACCAGTAGCTGTTAGACCATTAAATAACAGTCGAATAACCCGAGAATAGACACTAATAGCCAGATTAGGTTTACGTCGGCCTTCGAGATAGGAGTTTGAGGAACTGGATCGCCGACCACTACTGGCCATAATAAACGATTGACTAATAGCTACACCTAATTGTTTGGGACCATTAATATCAGTGGTTGTGCTCGTAGTCGTAACTCGTTGTTGGCCTGGATAAGCAATTTGATAATAGGATCCGGTTGAGTCCATGTACTAATTTGAACTGGGCCATCACGACTATGCCAATCAGGATTGTCCCCGACCAGTTTACTGTCGGTATTGTTTTCCCATTTCATAAAATATGGCCGAACATCCTGCCAACCCCAACCCTGGGCACCATATTTATCAGCCCAGCTATCGTAGTCTCTAGGGTTACCCCTATTGAACACCAATGCATTGGTTGATGAACTACCTCCCAGTCCATAGCCTCTGAAAAAAAGAAAATAAAAAATTAAATAAATTATTTTTTTTAAATAATAATAATTACTAGTGCATCAAAAAATATTTATTTAAAAAAAAGTTGAAAATATTCTCAATAAAAATATTTACTAAAAACTACTAAAAAAAATATTTACATAAAATATTTATTTATTTTAAAAAATATTTATATATTTAATCAATTTGTAATTTATTCCTATCTCTATTAAAAATTAAAATTAATAATAATAATGATAATTGTATTACAAATTGATATCATATTTTTACAGTTTTAAGTTATAATAATATTTAATTGTATTCACTAAAAACATAAAATATTTAATTTAAATGTTTCTTATTTATTTATCATCAAAATATATATTATATTTAATTAAATAGTTATTTTATTTAATTAATTAAATATATTTTGATGCACTAATAATTACTTAACAATCACATAATTAATATCATATAATTAATATTAAATAAATAAAAATTATTTTATTAAATTTATTTATTTTTTTCATATACCTGTGCTCCTGTCATATATTTAATCAATTTGTAATTTATTCCCATCTCTATTAAAATTTACAATTAATTATAATAATGATAACTGTATTACAAATTGATATCATATTTTTACAGTTTTAAGTTATAATAATATTTAATTTAAATATTTCTTATTTATTTATCATCAAAATATGTATTATATTTAAATTAAGTATTTTTTAACTAATTAATTAAATATATTTTGATGGGCACTAATAGTTACATAACAATCACATAATTAATATCATATAATTAATATTAAATAAATAAAAATTATTTTATTAAACTTATTTATTTTATTCATATACCTGTGCTCTGGTATGATCTGATTTTTCCAGCCCATGCCAACCGATTGCCTAACATTAGTATAATTCCAATTCCATTGGCCATTGTTTATAGAGTAGGCCAGTGCCGGTATGTCTGCTTCTATACTACCCGGTCCGCCGGCTTCCAATAGTAATACTTGCCAATTATTGGACAGTTGGCTTAATCGGCCGGCAACTGTTGAACCGGCAGTTCCCGCGCCTATAACTATATAGTCGTATTGAGTTGTTTTAGGTGGTGGTCGGGCAGTAAATCTGTGACTATAGTCAAGACTAATCAGTGCCGCTTATAATAACTGCTATCACTTGCGATGGCAGACTAATAGACATATATTAATATATATATTATTAAATATAAATTAATAAAAATTTTCTAGAGTTATATTAATCAATTAAAATAAAAATAATTTTTATTTTTAAAATCATATATAATATTATTTTATTAAAAAAAAAAATACAAAAAACTAATTTGCTGATTTTTTGTTATAATATTATATATATATATGCATTAATTATTTGTTAAACAAATTTTTTTACAAAAAAAAATCATTTATAAGTTAATTAAATTTAAATTAACAGTAATTATGTTTTTTTTTAAATTTGCAATTTTAACTAATTATGACATTTTAACTTATTTTGTTGTTAAAACGTACTGTAAATACAATGAAATTACTGTAATTATGTTTAAAAAAGCATTTGTTTTATTTTTATAATTATGACCCACAAAAATTAATATTATCACATGTATATTTAATTATTTTATATTTTTAAAAATTTTTATTATATTCAGTTTAGTTATTAATAATATGATATATTTTAGACATATATACTCTATTAAAGTGTTAAATTTATTAACTTAACCTAATAATAGTAAATATGTAAAAAAAATAGTAAAAAAATATGTAATATTTAACTTTAAATTTTTTTAATATACAAATAGATATTATAAACTAAATAACAGATTTTTTTTTCTATATATATATAATAATTTAAGTTTAATAATATTGTTTATTATATAATATTACTAAATGACATGTCATTATAATTATATTTTATAATTTAAAATAAATCAATAGTCATCAAATGATATTAAAAATTTTGTTATTAACATTTTTTAAAAAAAAATATTAGTATATTTTGATATATATAATAAATTTTTCATTTCATTGTAATTACAAAATATAATAATTATATATATTATGTGTTTTTTATCTAATGTATAAACTTTTTTTTTGTACTAATTATTTTGTGTTAATTATTTTGTTATATTTTATTATAACTCACATTAAATTATTTATGATAAATTTTATTTAATTAAATACTAATATTAAAAACAAATTTTTTAGATTTTTATTAAAAAAACTGTAAAAATCTTTAGTTATACAAAAATTCTATAACTATTGACTTTAATTTAATAAATTTTGATAACTATAAAATACAATACACAACTTAAAAAATTTTAAATAATTTACAAATTATAAAATAAATATCTAACTAACAAATTATAGTTTACAAATTTTATTTAACAAATAAATTTTTTGGTAAAATATTAAAATTAAAACTTTTTTGTTATTTTTTAAAAATAAAATATTAGTTAAATTCAGTTAATTTATTTTAATTTTTTGTTTTATATTACTAACTAAAATAATTAATACAATTGCTGCTAAACATAACAATTCAATTGATACAAACACTGTATGCCAACCATAATTGTCGGCCACTGTACTCATGGGTAGTCCAGTAAATATACCGCCAACTATTAATATATTACAATATAAATTAAAAATAAAATTAATAATAATAATAATAGTTATATTTTAATAAATATTAATTAAATCCAAAAAATAGTTAATAATAAAATACCATTTTTTAAATACAATTAAAATCTATGTTTACTCAATTACAAACATGTTATATATCAGTACTATAAATAAAATATTTTAAATTATATTAATTACAGTTTTATTAAAAATAAAATTAATAATCTTTCATATTAAAATTTAACTTGGTAATTTTTTCTGATAAAAATTATTCAACAACAACAAAAATGTAATAAAGTAATAGTTTTTAATTTTGAATATTAAAATTTTGTAAAAATTTATAGTAAACTTAAATCTTAGTTATTTTTTGAAATAATAATAATAAAAATTAAACTAATTTTTTTTTTTTTAAATAATATATTTCTATATTAATTAATTATTGATTACAAAACATTACTGTCAAACAAAAAAAAATGATTTGAATTTAACTCTATATATTAAATTATATTATAAAAATATTTTTTAATTTTTTAGATTATAAATTTTATACAGTTTTATTGTAAATACTAATTATGATTTTAATCCAAGTAATTAATAGTAATTGTAGTTAATTAGTAGTAATAAAAAATTTGTAAAAAAAACTAAACTTTAAATATAGTATATTTATAAATACTGTAATAATAATATATTGAATAGTAAACTATTTTAAAAATATATATTGATATAAAATAAATTGTAAAATAAATCTTTTGGCAATTATCCATCTATTCAATTAAATAAATATAATATAATATATTAACTATAATATTTTTAATTTTTAATTTTACAGTTTTTATATTAATATTAATAATTGTTTTTATTTTAAAAAAATCTAAGTAATTAATAGTAATTAGTAGTAAATTATTAGTAATAAAAATATAATAATATATTTAAAAAAAAATTATATTAAATATATTACCAAAGCTAGACATCGTTACAATTGACGAGTAAAACCCGGACATATGTTTCGGTCCCAATTCGGTGGCCATAACCGACAGGTTGACTACATTTCCCGAAATTGAGACACCGGTCAACAGTGCCGTCACTATCTGTAGTGTATTACTTGATTGTGAATCCATTGTATAGCACAACACGTGTAATACCCATGCATTCAATGCAAACAATACTATATTGACTGGCAATCGGGCTCTGGGTCTGCCATCATATGGACTACTATCAGCTACCTGTGCTGATGCTGACTGTCGTTGAACTAGTATATCACTACATTTACCAGCCAATAGTTTGCCACCAATTGAACCCAGGCCAATTAAACTGATAAATGAACTAGCTGACATAGGGGTAAACTGTAGCTGACGGGTCAGGTATAGTCCTATCCAATCGCTTATGGCTATACGGGATAAGCCTTCAATAAAACTAAGTGTTAGGGTTAACAATATAATGGGCGATATGAGTGTATAGTTGCCCGGTTGCCCTTTTTTGGTGTCGTCACCATCATGTTTTTTATCATTATTACTAACTGTATCTTGGTGATAATTAATCAGGAAATAACTTAGTGCACCCACACCTACAGTCAAACAGGTACTGAACAATATATACGATCGCCAACCATACGAATCGGTAATGGCCGCAGCTATTACTGTACTGGCTATCTGTGCTACGTTTATCGATATCAATACTACGGCCCAGTTAGTTGCAAACCGGGTGGGCGTACTGTTTGATTGGGTAACTTGGAGTATGGGTGGCAATGCCAGACCCTGGCCTATACCGTTGACAAACCATAACAGTGTATATACGGATGCACTGACCGGTAATTGGCCGATTAGGCCAGTAGTTAGCGAACATAGAATGAATGACCATGTTAGAAGGGAACGGGATGCTAGTCTATGGCTGTAAATGCCGGCCAAAAATGTTGTCAATGCCAACGATATTGTTTGGGCACTTGATATTGTACCTAGGTAAACAAAATAAAATAAATAATTAATGTATAAATAATAATTTTTAAAAATAGTTATAATTGAATTAAATATAGTTTAATTATAATTAAATTATTAATAATAAACACTTTAATTTATCAGTTTTATTATTTTTAAAAAATAAATAATTGTTTTTTTAATATAATATACTGATAATATAAAAATAATTAAATTTAAAATATTATTTAAAAAAAATTAATGCAACAAAAAATATATTTTTATAAATTATTTTTATTTTAAAAATGTTATTTAACTTTATGACTTTATGGCTATAACTTATATATTTTTAATAATAACAAATTAATAATATAAATTTTTATAAAAAAAAATAATTTACAGTTACAAAATATATATAATATTTAAATTAAATTATTAACAAATTATATATATATATATATAAATGTTAATAAATTATATATCAATAAATAAAAATTATATTAAATTTATATTTAGAAAATAATTTAATAATAATAATAATACCAGCATTTTGTTGTGTTAAGCCATCATTAATTAATTCAGCAAATATTTGTGTAACACATTTACGATTGAAAAATATAGCAAAATAAACACAAAATATCAAAACTAAATTACGTGTCGCATAATTATTATTATTATTATTAATATTACTTTTATTATTATTAGTATTAATATTACTTTTATTATTATAAGTATTAATATTATTAACTTTTTGTTTAGCCATATTAGTTATAAAATAATTTTTAAATAATAAATAATTTGTTTTCAATTTTATAATTTTATAACTAATTGTTTACTATATATACTGTACATATAATGTGCTATTTTATAAAAAAAATTTTTTCACATATATACAGTATTTTTAAAACAAATAATGTATGTCATGTTATAAATGCACTTATCATCTATCAGTATAAATGACCTTGGTTGCGCTTAAAATAATACTAATAAAATAAAATATATTGTTTATATTACATGACATTTTATTTAATTGCTATCAATTTTAGTTAATATTTAATTTAAAATAATAATTTTTATTTATGTAATATTTAAGACAGTTAAAAATAAAATAATTTTTTAAAACTGTAATAATTTTGACATCACATAGAAAATTTTATTAATTTAGTTTTGGTTAGCATACAAATCATTAATTAATTTTGCTATTAGATACTGTATAATATAAAAAATAAAATAAATTATTTTCTAAAAATATTTGATATTATAATTATAAATTTAATTAGTGTTAGAATTAATAATTATAATATTTAGTTTATAATTTCAATAATTTCATTTTATATTATTTATTTGATAACTTTTAGTTTAAAAATTAATTTTTTGTTATAACTTGATTTTATATTAATTTATTATTTTTAAAAAAAAAATATCTTTAAGTAGTTTTTTATAATTTATTTTTTAAATAAAAATTAATTTTTTAATGTACAGGAATATTACAATATTTATATTATTAATATTATTATTGAATTAAATGTTTATAAAATAGCAATTTATTTTTTTTATAAGATAATTTATATTAAATAAACTGTAGATAATTTTTGTTAAAGTTTATATTTTGATTATTGATAGTGTAATGTAATAAAAATAAGTATATATAATGTAAAAAAATTAGATTTTAGTTGATATTTAAATTATTGATAGTGTAATGTAATAAACATAAGGCTATATAAAGTAATAATAATGTAAAAAAATAAATTTTAGTATATATTTTAATTATTGATAGTGTAATGTAATAAACATATGTATATATAAAGTAAAAATAATATAAAAATTTTTATATTTTAGTTAATATTTTTTTAGCTAATAGTAATTTATTGATAAATATTTAACTCATTGTTAATAACAAATAGAAATTATAATTTAATTTTTTTAAACAAAATAATGGTAAGTATTGACTTATTTTTATTTAATTATTTTTATTTAATTATTTATTTTAAAAATAATAAATAATTATTCTTAAAGCTATTGATTTTTTTTATTAAAAATCTGTTTATTTTATTTTATTTTTATTACTATCACATATAACTAGAGCGCCGATAGCTGTTCATCCATACCGCGTACACTCTATCACTATACCAATGATACCGGTGCTAAAGGTATCCAAAAATCAAATGTTATCAATCGGTCGTCGACTACTAGCGGATCGTATGGTCGGGGCGTATACCTGACCCCAATGAATCCCTATCAACATACGAAACGGGATATATTGAAAAACAATTACGGGTCCAGTTATAGGGATAGGACCGGGTGTGCCGATTGGGTAGTCTATGTCGATACGGATAAATTGGACAGACATCAACTTGAACGGGTGTCTGTACGCGGCGATGATGATATCTATTGTTATAAGGTCCGGGAGTTACGGGTATCCAAAATGGACGTCCATAGAAAACCCCGGAGTATGAGTGCTGTTAAAAAACTGCAACAAAATATGGATACAATTAGTAAAGATATTAAACGCCTAAATAAAAAGTTAGTTAGTTTGACGACTAAATTAGATATTCATAGCGATTGTGATAGTGATAGTAGTAGTAGTAGTGATAGTAGTATTAGTATTAGTAGTAGTAGTGATAGTGATAGTAGTAGTTATTGTAAAAATTATAATAAAAAATCAAAAAACAAATGTATTAAAAAAAAGTAATTTAAAAAATTAGTAAATATTATAGTTATTACATCAATAAATAATTCTAATTTTAATTAAACTATAATAACTAAAATTGTAGACTATTTAAATTAAATATGTTTTAATAAAATCATATAAAATGTTATATTTTAATAATTTTAATTAAACTTAATAATTTTATTTTTGTTAAACTGTAATAATTATAAACAATAAAATAAATTATTCATTTATCTTGGCTAATTTATTTATTTAGAATTTAAGGACATATACTTTTATAAAATTGTAAAATAGTTTATTTATTATAAAAATATTTACTATTAAATTAATTTCTATTAAATTACTTAATATTTAATTATATAATAAAATTAATACACTAATCACTGCTACTATTAACTTATACTACTACTATAATTATAAAAATTAAATAATAGTAAATTATAAAAGTTATTTTTAAAAAATAAATTTATTATATAATTTTAGCTATATTTCACTATATTTATTGAATTATTAAATTTATTTTTGAAATATAAACATTTATATTATTTAATCTATTTTATTATTTATATGATTCAAAACTAAAAGATATATATTAGATATGATATAATATTAATTACTAGTATATAACGACATATTATTATTATTGCATTACATGTTTATATAATAAAATAATAATAATATACTGTATAATAATATTAAACAATTTTTTTTTGATAGTGTAATGCTTAAAAAAATAATAATATATAAATAATTATTTTAATTATTAAATAGAAATAATTTTGTTTATAATAATTACAATTTAGTATAAATTTATTTACAACAATTTTAATTTAGTAGTTATGGTAAGTATTTGTTATTTAAAATTTAAATATTAATTATTTAACTAATAATAATAAATTTTTTATACAGAGCACCGGTAGTTCATCAGTTCCCGATAGACTCTATCACTATACAAGTACTGCCGGTGCTGATGGCATACGAGAGTCGGGTGCTATCAAACAGTCGGATAGAAGTGGTATGTTTGGACCGGGAGTTTACATGACATCAATAGATCCCTACCAACACTACAGGAATGAGATATTGGAAAACAATTACGGATCGACCAGTGGTAGAGCTAACTGTGCCGATTGGGTGGTCATCATTCAAACGGATAGATTGGATAAAACTAGACTATTCCGGGTCAGTACACGTGATAATCAAGATATTTATCGTTACGATGTCCGGCAACTATTGGTGTCGTCCAATGATATACACGATAAACCCCGTTGTTTGCAGGCTATTCAAAAAGTTCAATATAGTGATAATGATAGTGATGATGATGATGATGATGATGATGATGACCATGGTAATTTTATGAAAAATAACAGTCATATTAGTAAATTGTTAGCAATTTTAATGAATCAATTAGATATTAGTGATAATGAGAGTAGTAGTGATAATAGTAGTAGTTATGATAGTAGTAGTGATAGTAGTAGTGATAGTAATAGTGATAATAATAGTGATAGTAGTAGTGATAGTAGTAGTGATTATAGTAGTAGTAGTGATAGTGATGATGATAATTAATTTGTACTGTAAATTCACAAAAAAAAATAATTAATTAACAAATAATAATATCTACTTTACTATATTTGAGATTTTTTTTTTTGTATAATATATAAATTAGAAATTATAAAATTAAAGTAATAAGTGTTTTGCTCATCTAAATTAAATAAGTATAAAATTATTGCCATCATATTTAACTAATTTAATATTTTTGTACAGCTGAAATAGAATTAAAAAATAAAATTATTTAAATATCTGAATAACTAATTTAACATATTATTTTTTTGTAACTAATTTTTAATTGTATTATTTTTTATATATTTAGTTTTAATTAACATTAATAATCTATATTCAATTTATATAATTTATAATATTGGTAACTAAAATAACTAAGCTTATTTTACTATTTAATAATAAATTAGAAATTTATTTATAAATAAATTAACACATTTTTTATTTAACTGATTAAATGTATAATATTTTATTTTTTTTAAACCTACTAATACATTTCTATAATAAATTAGTTAAATTTAATTTATTAAAAAATGTAAAATAATTCTAAAACTAAAATAATTAAAATGTTTCTTAAATATAAATTTTAGAAATTTAGAAAACTGTAAAAATTTTTTAATTTATATAAAAAATTATATTATTATTTAATATAATATTATTAAATAGTTTATAAGTCTTCTAGTTTATAGTTTATTATTTTATTTGTAACAATTTATAAAATATAAAATTGTTAAAATTTATGTTATAATAGTTATGTTTTATTTATTACAAAATTTAAAAATTTTATTTTTGATATTTAAAAAATTAATATCAATTCTAAATTGATTTTTTTAAATATATTCAATAAATTAAAAAAATAAATAAATTTTTTACAGCTAATAAAGTTAAATAAAAAACAAAATTAATTTAGTTTTAAATTAATGCTAAAATATTTAACTCATTTATCATTATTTTACAGTTTAACTTATATGTTAATTAATTTATAATAAAGAAAATTATTGTTAAATAAATTAACATAATATATAATTAAAGTTAGATACTAAAAAATTATATATTAATTTATATAATTAATATTTAATTATAATATATTTAATGAAATTTTAATTATTATTAATAAACAAGATTCAATTTACATCATTAATAATATTAGAAATATCTAGTCTATAATTACATTATTTTTTAAATAATAGTATTAAAATTTTTTTATGAAACATTTTTAAGTTTTAATTTATTAGAAATTTTTGTAATATTATTTTTACTTATTTATTATAAGTAAAAATGTCTTAAATAAGTTAAGTAATTTTAAAATTTTAATAAATTATAATATGTTATAATGTATTATAATAACTAAACATTTTATTCACTAAAAATTTTAAATAGTTAATTTAAATAAAAAATATTTTTAATTGTAATTTTTTTGTAAAAAATATTATAATAAACTT